CTAAACCCCTAAACCCCTAAGCTCGGGCCGCCGAGGCACGATCGTGCGTCACGTTGATTTGATCGTGAGTGATGCCTCCGATTTGATCCGGGCAATCTGCAATGCGGTTGACCTCCAGCTCAGTTTAGCGTTTAGGGTTTAGGGTTTATGAGGGTTTAGAGCTCTACATGCGGAAAAGTGCTTGTGGGTCAGGGACGATACAGTTTCTGGAGTTTGCGGCGTAGGGCTTAAGGTACAAGTTTGCAGGTTGCTGAAGACTGTAAAAGACGGATGAATGAGGCGCAAGGCCTACTGACAGTAAGAAGAGTTTGGTGTAACCAGCTCAGTTATCCTGCAAACACATTCTAACCAGACCGAGCAAGAACATAAATACCTGAGTCAGAACATGGAACAGGGTCCGGGATATCTTATACATGGTGTACACGCACATATAAAACATAATGTGAACAATAGTGATAATCATCATAGTAACAAGAAGGCCGCCTGGAGCTCACGATATCAGAAGCCCCTTCGGATGAAAGGAAAGTACAGGTGGGGAGTTTANNTTCCATAAGGTATACCGACCTTCTATAAGACTCCTATAACGGTAACCACCCACCTGAAAATATCCCAGATCTGAGTGACGCTTACACGTGAAACTGTTTGCTGCAAGGGGGAGTAGGCCCAGAATTAAGTTCAGGGCGGGGGCCTAAGGCTTAAAGCTTTAGGGTTTTGAGGTGTTTAGGGTTTAGGGGTTTAGGGGTTTAGGGGTTTAGGGTTTAGGGTTTAGGGTTTAGGGTTTAGGGTTTAGGGTTTAGGGTTTAGGGTTTAGGGTTTAGGGGTTTAGGGTGTATTGATTTATCGGTTAGGGTTTATCGGTTTAGGGTTTAGGAACCCTTCCCTAAACCCTGAACCCGAACCCCTACCCAATGAACCGTTCCACCTCTCACAACTCAAAGACCAAGAGGCTTCATCTACAGTGAACCGACAGCCAAAGCCGTGTAACACCTGAAACCCTGATACCCTTACACTCCGTAAACCTTATGACCCTTACAACTTAATACCCACGAACCCTAATTCCAAACCCCAGCCTAAACTCTTGTCCCTAAGTGCCCGTAGTCCCTAGATCCTTGTGCCCAAATAAGCCTAAACTGCCTGAAAGCTCGAACCTCTCAGACAAAAAAACGTCTAGACTCTAGACCAATCCAGAAACGAAAAGGGATTCTTGCAGGCGCCCTACTAATTACTTTCAGGTTTATGTACTATTAGAGTTCCTCTAAGGGTTACTATAAGGGGTTTCATTAAAGGTTTTGTATCGCGGCCTTGATGACTAGAACAAGGTTTTCTGGTATATTCTAGGATACTCAGACCTAACCCTAAACCCTAAACCCTAAACCCTAAACCCTAAACCCTAAACCCTAAACCCTTTATTCGATGTTAGGGTTAAGGGCTGAGGGCCGAGACCCAAAGCCCTGAATCTCAGTAGGGTTTAGAGTTTAATAATTTAGGTCTCTCTAAGCCCGAAGCCCAAAAAAGACATCCTAAACCCTAAACCCAAAGGCCCTAAACTCTAAACCCTAAAACCCCAAGGCCCTAGACCCTAAACCCAAATTTTAACCGAAAAACAACCGGAATCCTTTTTTCTAAACCCTCTACACCCTCAGCAACTGGGAGGCCTCACAGCTCTGTAGCAGGACATCGAACCCCCCCCCCATATAATACAGAACCCTTATGCAACTTTTTAGCCTAAACCCTAAACCAAAAAAAAACCTTAGAGTTCAGGGTTTGGGGTTTAGGGTTTAGGGTTATCGAACCTCCATATGATACAGAACCCTTACAGAACCTTTAGCCTAAACCCTAAACCCAACAAGAAAACCATGAAAACCCATCTAAACCCAAAGCCCTGCAGCGCCCTGCAAAATCCAGTAGCCCGATCGAAGGCCGTGTCACCAGCGTGGACTTGCCGACATTGGGCCGACCCACCTTGTTCATGGTTGGGGTAGTATTAAAAATTTAAATTTATATTCCTTATTGGGTTTAAGTACCCTAAACCCTAAACCCTAAACCCTAAACCCTAAACCCTAAACCCTTAAAAATGTAAAATGTTACCCAACTATGACAAAGCCACGATGGCAATGCAGGGCCTCTGGATCACCTCCGGCCGGTTGGCCTGGGACTCGAGGGCTTCGGCTGCAGTTTTAGGTTAGGGCTTTAGGGTTTAAGGTTT